GTCCTCAGTTCGGATTGCAGGCTACAACTCGCCTGCATGAAGCCGGAATAAGCATATCAAATTTTTATTTGGGTTATTTAAAATATGTGCAAATAACCTTAAATTAAACCTTCTATATATAAATTATAAATAATTATTTGATATTAATTAAGAAGCAGGACATGAAACCATTTTTCAAATCTCATAGTGGATGTTTTATTTTCTTTTTTCATATCTGTAATAACCCAACCCCTTGATTTTGACACTTGTATTATATTTTACGGTCAATATTATTATACATGTAACATTGTGATCTGTCTTGTTTGAGCACATTAAATTATATTATTTTAATAAAATTCTTACTACCACTTTATTTTTCATCTCAAATTCAAATATTCTTATCCTTCTACATTTTTAGACATAATTGTTTTCTTTTTTTTTCCTTGCTTATAGTTTTTGCATTATTTATTACTTAATATTGTTATACTATAATGTGATCTTTTATTAATCTTGTTTATTACCCTTTTAATAGTGATCAATAAATGTAAAAAAAAATTATTCTTGAAATTTAATGTATCTTTACACTATTATCCACTTACTCGGATCTCTTTCTTCATTTAAGTCTATTTAAAAATATTTTTAACTACTATTTAATAATTTAATTTATTTATTTTTAATAAATTTAAAAATATAAGTATCCTCACACTATATCTATTTTCCTCTTTATACATAATTTTTTTACCTATACTCAAAATAAACAAAATTTCAATTTTCTATTCAATTAAAAATTCAAACTGAAGTATGATACTTTTCTTATATTTGATAGTTCTCTATCGGGAACATATATATCACATTTTATTTTAAAATATAACTTTGAATTAGTCTAGAAATTAATATATAAGTTCTTTTATAATATTTCAAATCTATTGAATTTTCTTATAATTATTTTTTGTATTACATGCATTTATTTTGTAATCTATTGATACAGATTTGGCTTTTAAGAACTTACTAGTCTCAAATTCAAATAGTCTTTCCCTTTCATTTCTAATAGTAAATTTTTATAATTTAACGTAATTTTGCTATTTTTTTAATCTAATATATAGTCTTATTACGTTATGTGACTTTTCATTAACTTGTAACTTTATTTAATATAATTATCAACTACTATTCTTTAATATAATATAGATAAATATATAATTTTTTAATCATAAATAAATATTAATTTTTTAAAAAATATTTCTTGAAAATTTTAATTATTTAATTTTTAATAATATTTTTAAGTATTGTATATTTACTTTATTTTATTTATGATTATAAATATCCTCACATTATCTCTAATTTATTTTTATTATTCAATATTTTTAGTTTTTGATTTTATCTATTAGACTTGAGTTACGTGGACTTATCCATATTATGACTTTATCACAATATAAAAAACTTTCTCATCTCAAATTTAAGTTAGTTTTTACCCTTTTTCTCTATGATAAAAAATCTGAATTTTTATTTTTTTCTCTATTTATTATACTATTCAATTCCTAATATTATTACACTGTCATGTGAATTTTTATTAGCTTGTTTGAATTTAATATCTATTTCTACCACATTCATTCTAATATAATATAGATAAAAATTAAATAGCTTTCTCATCTCAAATTCAAAATTTTTATCATTCTATTTTCTAAAATGGACCTTATTTTCAAAAATTTATGTTATGCTTTCAAACATAAACTAACTGCACTCAATTCAAATATTAATCATACAAAAATATTTTCTTAATTGTTTGAACACATTATATCTAAACGTTGTAATATTTTACGTATAAAATATTTATTTGCCCGATTTATCAATATTAATATGACTTTATTATTCTTGTTATTAAAATAGTTTTTACTAATTATTTAATTTTTTTCTTAACTTATAAATAATTTTTATACTTTATGTAAGATCTTATTTTGCTGCTTGAATTTCTTTAATTTTAAACTCAATAAATCTTGAACATCTTAAGTAAATTTAGTTTTATTTTATATTTAACTTACGCCAAAATATAAATAGTCATAAAACTCAATTTACGTATTTTTATATTTTTTTCATTTTTTTATTATAGTTTTTAATTAATTTTTGTCTCCATATTTCTAGCTAACATAGAAGAAAATCTATGACTGGATCAACATATAGATATAAATATAGATATAGATATAGATATAGATATAGATACAAATATAAATATAAATATAAATATAGATATATAAATTAGATTTTTCTAAGATCTATTTAGATTATGTATAAGATTCACTAAACAACTTGTATTAAATATGTTTCCATTTATAATTCAAATTTTTAATATTTTCTTAAAATTGCCAAGTGGCTTCATTTTAGCTTGACACTTGGCTTAACCACATGCTTCACTACTCTCCTTTTAATATTATATAGATTATATGTATAGCTTTTACCTCGTTAAAAACATTTGAGTTTTAAGTTTTACGCACTCGCGCTCAAAATACAAGTAGTTCACTTATTAGGTAATTATAATTAAATCTTTATCATAACCTTTAATTCATAATCTAATAAAACTGGTAACTAACATGGTAAAATAATTTGTCAAATTACATTGATCACATAGTGTACATAATTTAAATTTAAATATTTTAACTATACAAAGACATGCATTTATAAGGAAAGTGAATGTAACTAATGGAACTTCAAGATTTACCGAATATATAACAAGATACAGAGTATACCATTTTCCTTATAATAACGTTAAACCCTAATTTCCCATTCAACTACATAGAGAGTTACTATTAAAAATGCGTTACACAATTCTTGATCTTGTGTGCCTAAACAATGTCTTCCACTTTTTGCAAAACAAAGGGTTGTAGAAACCCTAATTATAAGCAAAGAAACAATTCCCTCAAATTGTTCAAAATAATCAAACAAATCTCTCGTATTTTTAGTCCCTCAAATAATCGCTCCAAAAAAATAGCAAGAACTCAATCTATGCCTTCTACTTATTCCTCAGTGTTAAGTATTTATGAATGTAGTTGTCATTATCATGGCTACGAAAGAGAAAAGATTCAGAAAAGGAGAAATATTTTGCATGGCGAAGAATTGTGGAATAAAAGAGTTGATAATTATGATGAGATTTCTATATCAGATTATGGTGAAGATGAAGAAGCTACGTTTGAGGAGACGCATAGTTTGGAGCAAAGAGCAGAGGAATTTATTAGAAGATTTTATGAAGATCAACGTATCCAGAGGAATTTATTAGGTTAGACTGTCTACGTAAGAGGTGTGGCCCTTCCAGGGACCCGTGAACATGGGATGTCTTGTGTACCGGACTGTCGTTTTTAACATATTCAAAGGAAAATTTTTGAGCTTGAGTTTTATGAAAGGTTAGCTCGTGGAGTATAGAATGGACCTTGACCATCCATGTAGTTAGAGGCGAATACAAAATTTAAACTTTATGAGTTCGACTTTTGAGGACCCGATACTGCAAGGTTAATCCGCTCTTAGAGGCGGCTTAACAATGTTAGTGGCCTAAAGCAAAATTTTGTCAAGAGGCCTTAGATTTTTCTTTTTTCTTTTTTTGAAAAAGAATTCATATAGTGTTTATTGAAAGTCTATCATTTTAGCTTTTTGGGATGAGCGATTGTTAACATTAACGTTTTAATCAATTTCTTCTAATATTTTCTTTTTCAATTTGACAATATGTAGCCAAACAATTACATGGCTAAAAAGTTCTCTTTCATTTTTATAAAAATTTTGTTTCTTTACCTTTAAATATTAAGTAATTTTTGAAGAAAATTAACTCTAAAACCTATTATTAATATATAAAAAGAGGGGCCCCAAAAAAAAAAGGGGCCTAAAGCCATTGCCTTAATGGCTTTGGCATTGAGTCGGCATTGCGGATTTCAGTAAGATAGATCCATGATTTAAACTTAATGGATTCAATATAAAATGTTTACCATCGAACATATTGTGCATTTAGAATTATGGATTCAAGTTTCATATTCGTTGAAGTTTTGGTAATTTTTAGAAAACATGCTACATCTGTATGTGATGTTAACGATTAGGTGCTGATTAACTTTTTACTTTTTTTTTTTTTTTATAAAAGTTCCAGCATGACTTTTGCGAGCATTTAAGTTAAATGCATTGTTTTAGATTATTAATGTAGTTTAAGCGGTTAATTACACCAGTTTTAACATTTATTTTGCCCTATTTTATAGGTTACTTACACTAATTACCCGGATAATGTTCATCCTCACGCAAGTGAACTCTTGGACACAGAGTAGTCAAAGTAAAAAAATCCATAAACACAAACAACAAATATTTATTTGTTATGCAAGAAAATGCAACTATAAAACACAAATTATAAACAATTCTTTTTATATACATACTACGCCTAGTTTATATTTCTATTTACTAAAAGTTCAGTCATAGACATTTGCTTAACAACTAATGTATTACTTTTTGTGAATTATATCTTTTTATTAACAGTTTGTTCTTTTACGGGAATTTTGGCTCCTCTACGATGATTGGAAATTGGGCATTTTCCGATTCTCTATTCAAGTTTTAACTCATTACTCTTTATTCTCATCAACGAACATAATTTGAAATGGTAAATTAATTTGTTTTAAACCTTATGAAATGAAGAAGACAAAAAGTGTGTAACGATAAAAACGCAATCGCTTTAATGATTAGCTTGTTTGGCCGAGCTTTTGGGAAGCCAAAAATATTTTTAAAAATTTAAAAAATACTATTTTAAAGAGTTGAAGTATTTGGTCAATCTTTTAGGAAAAAATTAAGAGCTTTTCACTAGTAGTAAAAGCTGTTTTTTGAAAGCGAAAAATAATATTTTTTTCTCCCAAAACACTATTAGAACCTTGAACCAGCCAAATTACTGGTTTAATGTGGCAAAATATTTTTCAAATTGGTTAGTCAAACACAAACTGCTACTCTACAAAAATACTTTTTTGACCACACTTATGATAAAAATAACTTTTTAAAAGCACGACAAAACAGTGTCACATGAAAAGGAATCTATTTTACTCCAAAACTTTTGATAAAACAAATTTTCCTTCTCACCGTCTACAGTGCATATGCTAGTCCCAATATTATTATTGTCAAGGTGAATGTAAAACTGCTATCATCAATATGTATGGGCTCTCATTTTAATCGAATAGAAGTTGTTTAGGTAATCCCAATTTGGCTGCTGTGCGCTTATCTGGCAAATACTGCACTGATGTAACAACAATTACGCCTCAGCCCCAGCTGATGGTAGCGAAGTTTAGTGCACCGGGCTGCACATGGTTTATGCATAAACTAACATGAATTAGTTTCTTCCACAACTCAAAAGACTTGACTTGCCAGCCAATCATGATATCCAAGCTAGGATACGGATAAGATTTAGAACAAACCTTTCAACTAAATGGCCAATTTTGTGAACTTAGCAGCAAAAAGTCCGCTCGTACTAGATGTCAATGGATCAAACCGTAAGGTTTTCTGTATTCTACCACTCTTGCATGGCCAATTTTTGGCAGCAGTAATCTCTAGCAATTCTGCAAATAAATAAGAAAACTGACTGCATCAAGAAGAAGAAAAACAGAGGGGCTGATAAGCGAAAAGGTGCAAGAGAGGAAAAAGCTTGATAGCATCTTTCACGCAATTCATAATAACTCTATTGATGATTTAAAATGAAGCTGGATAAACCCCTTCTCGTGCAAGGTTTTGTTAAAAAATTTCACCTTGTTGACTTATATAAGATAGCTTCCACTAACTGTTCAAGTATAACTTTCAAAACAGCAGTTCTGAAGTAACTTTACTAATAGCTATATGCAGTGGATAATGAAAAATCTTAACCGCATATGTGATTAAATCTGGCACCCATCTAGTGAAATCACAAACACCTTAAGGTATCAGTTTCCAGATTCACAACAACAAAAAGCAAAATTTTACCTGCAGATGTGTTCTCTGAAAGGAACCGTTCGACCACATCTTCATTCTGAGCAAAGGTTAAACTGTTCCACACATAACACAGACAAAAAAACGGCTTATGAGAATTTAATAGAATGAAAAGAAAGAGGACTCTATAGCTCAGGGATATAAGTCGATAACACCTGCAAGTGCTATAGACAAGGACTCCCCCAACTCTGAGCAATCTGAATCCATTAATCAGAAGTTGCAGCTGGAAGAAACGGATAAAATACTGTGAGGCGAAAACATAGGAGAAAACAAACTTGAGCAAGGAGAAAAGCCTAGAATGAGGAATGAAGCACCAAGATAAAAAAGTTTCACAAAAACATGGAAATTTAACTACATGGCGTTAAATTTAGAAAGATTCACGTATTCATGAGGGATGATTTTGAGGGCACTAAAGTAGGAGGAAAAGAGAAACAATGCCCATCACTCAGAAGTAAAAAGTGTTACATACATATAGAGCTACAGAATCTTCCCAACCACATCTCACAAGTCACAAGAGACAAGCTCAACCTTGCTATGATGATAGAACCCAGACACCAACTTCTCTTTGTTAAGAAAATCTAGAATCTGAGACTGGACAGCTTCTATAGCCTCTCATAATTAAAAGAAAGTACCTACTACCTAGCAGCCCACAATAAGAAATCATCCCGAAACTAAAGTAAAGTTGAACGGTGCTACTAAAACCTGGAACAAACATTAAAGTTAATGGCAAAACTTGGAAGTGGCATACTAAAGTCATTTCGATATACCTATTTGTGATTCTGGTTCTAAAAAAATCTAAGAGCAATAAGCTTTGGAATATCATGCAACAACATGCACGCCAGATGAGATCTTGTGCTTCTGAGTCATTGCTTTTGGAATTCTTTCCATGACCTTTTCATCAGAAAGTCTCCAAATAAAGCACAGGTTAGACATAGAATCAATAGCACACCCACCATACAACAACAAGAACAACAACCCAGTAAAATCCCACAAGTGGGGTATGAGGAGTGTAGTGTGTACGCAAACCTTAACCCTACCCCGGGGGGTAGAGAGGCTGTTTTCGACTCACAACAAATCAAGCATAATGATCCAAATTATACTAATGTTTACAAGCTATGAGCCAATCTCTCTTGTTAACGAATAGCTATGCCAGCTGCAAAACTGGCCGAGTGTTTTCAAGGCAGAAGGTATATGTAGGTTTAAGAAAACAAGCTAACTTCAGCACCTGAAGGACAGTCAGATCATCGGTTCTTTCTGCATCTAGCACGCGCCGCTGGAGGGTTGTCCAGCCCCACTGTTCAAATTTCTGAACGTGCTTAATAGAACCATCATGGGTACATTCTGCATCCACAAGAACCTGGCTTGAACTCAAACCAGTCAGTAGTTATGGAGGACAATATAAGAAAATGGCTTCAAGCGGTTCAAACTGTTGAATAGGATTAACTCCAACCACATAATGATTGATATACAAGTAACTGAAACAATAATCTTCACTTGATGATGATCAAGTTTTAGGAAAAAGAATATAAGCCTTCAAGTCCGAGCAAGAACAAAGGTAAAAAGAAAACATCTGGAGTTTTGGGACTTTACTGTACCTTGTCATAGCCGAGCAGCAAAACCTCACTCATAGGCCTTTTTTGATATAATTCATTCTTTCTCAGCCCAACCACCCCAGAATACCGACCATAAAATATAAGCTCTGGTTCTTGAGTTGATGAAAATAGCTTGGAGACGCCTTTTTCTCTCGCTATAGCTTCCTTCTTCCTTTCTTTCCATGGTCTGCGGGACTTCCACTCCCTATATACTTCAGAATTTTCTCCGGAAGGAAATACATCTGCTCGATAAATAGAAAAAAGAAAATACCTTGAAAAAAGACTGACCAGAATTTGCAAAAATCATCAAGAAACAAAGAAGCATCTGCGGCCAAAGGTTATGGAATGATAAATTTTTTACCATTTTCATTTTGCAATGGAGAGTCTGAACCAACCCTGACAGGAAGAAGGGAAAAGCTGGTCCCATCAGCAACAAAAAGACGACAATGGTCACCAAGACCATATTTCTGTAGCATGGTTCTACAGGCCGCTAAACGATGTTTTGCAATGTCAACACCAGTCACAGAGCCCGAACTGCCAAGAATGTCCAATATCATACAAAGTTTAGCACCTAAAAGAAGATATCAAGTGAGCTACACATTGGCTAAATGCTGTATCAAAAGTCTATACATGGTACTTGGAATTTAAGGGCTTTAGAAAAGCATGTGCATCTACTGATCAATTAAGGAGATCAAGGAATCTTCAGTTTTCACACTAAGGTTTAACACAAATGAAATGCCTATGGATACTTCATATCTATCTTCATTTAGCTATGGCTTTCCCCGACCCTTGCCCACCACTTGTCCAAAACTTTTCACACATTATAGGAATTTTAGTTGCTTTGGTGTGTATGCTAATATTTGTTCAATAGATAAGCTTTGATCACTCTGTAAAAGCTGTCTTGTAAGAATATTTGTGTAAATATATATGTACTTTTAGTGCGAGCTTAAAGGATTTGTAGCAATTTGCTTGGTTTAAAGAGCATATAATCCACGGGGTGCTTATAGTTATATGGGCTTAATTTACTAAAAACATAGATATGAGTTTTATTTTCTTTTTAATGTCCTCATCATTAAATTTACCATGCTGTCTCATGTGTGCAGCAGCTACCTAGAACGGATATGACATACTGATTGCTATTACTTTCACAAAGGATGATTTTTTCATTTAAATTTTAACTTTTCCACTAATTATAATTTAATAAAAAACTATTAAATAGACATACTCAGTATTAAAAAAACAGGAATAATATTTCAAAATCCCTGATAGATGGCCAACATGTATAACACGGATTATGAATATGATTAATGACTCTTTCAACTCCTTATATTATCTCTCAACTACTTATAAACGTTTATAGCATCCACTTATTGTCAAGCTTTCTTTATATTCTATATAACTTCTAATTGATAACTACTAAAACCACTCACAAGTTTCGCTTTGTCACCTAGGGGATTATTATAGCAATATATTTAAACCTCTAGCTTTTTTTTTTTTTTTTTGTGACAGATTCATAATAAGGTACCTCTTGCCATATCTTAACAGCGTGCCCAGAACCAAATTCTTAGTAACGTGTGTGTGACCAAGTGCCAAAATCAACAGTCATTATAGAAGTTTACTTGTTCCATATTTAAACCAGGAGTTACCAGGTGCAGCACAAAGATCAAGGACATGATCCCCAACTGAAATGTCCAAAGCTGTCACAGCAGCTCCGGATGCCGCATCAATTCCATATATCTGGATAGAAAGACAAAATAAATACTCAAAATCATCAACTATTATAGAATAGAATCATATCTTATAATTACCCCCCTAAGCTAATTTCTCCAATATAAAACAGCCTGATAACTACAGGGTAAATTTTGCTTAGGCAACACTCTCCTAACCATCAAGCCAACAAGTCAATTGCGGGGAAAAGCAAAAAATAAAAATAAAAGTAATGTTGGAGATAGAGAAAGAGAGAGGTATATAGTATTGCAAGAGCAGGGCACAAGCTTCTATCTAGGCTATCTTTAGACAATATCAAGGAAAATAATTTCCTCTGGATAGTACTGGAAATTGATAATTATCTCAACACTCAAGAGTATCAAATTCCAAGAGACTTGATTAAGAAGATGCCTCACCTTCCCTTCTTGGTATGCCTTCGAACTAGCAATTCGAACATCAGGTGGAAGATGATAGAAATTTGGCAACCAACAAACTCTTTCAAGCTTGCATCTAATATCAGCTTCAATTTCTTCAAGAAAACTCTCATAACAGGGCTTTAATCTTCAAAAAGAAAAGATTGTGCAAGCATGAGATTCTATGAAGGCAGATTTCTTACATCAATTTTTGTGAAAGGCACATCCTTCAATATACTAAGAGTGTGCCTGACATGGCAGAAAATGTTCTTCTGGAAATATTTCTCTTGATAAAAGCAATTTCTGATGTTTCGTTATCTTGAATTGGTGGAAGATGTTCGCTAAGAAAAATATTTTATGGGCAGAAATCAGTTCCCTTGCAAATATTCCAACTATTACGCATTCCACTTGCTTCAATCAACAGTTAAACATTGTTGTCTACTTTTATTTATATGACCAAAACACTATCATTGTAGCCTATACAACACCCTGCAGATTACCATATAAACTTACATTTATACACAACTAAACACTTGGAAAATGATTCAGAAAGATTAGATCACACGGTGGAAATAGGTAAAACATTTTTATATGAAAAAGAAAATCCAACCCAAAATGTTTTCCTCCACACCAACTGCACCCTAAGATTATTACTCTTTCATCAAAAAGTTTCCTTCAGCAAGCTTATTATACACCCAAAGGCAGTATGTTGCCTACAAGTAAGCATATCTACCACTAAGTTTCAGCATACAAGTTAGGCATTGCTAACTAGATTTATGTGATTCTACCATTCCAGTGGATTTCCCCCAGTGGACATGCCAGAAAGCACATGCAAATAGCTTATTGGCATCTGCTATTGTTTAAACTTTAAAGTTAATGATGGAAAAACCATACAAATAAGTATAGGAACATGACTATGGACTTTTCAATTGAATTAGAAATTAGATGTTACATAGCATAAACTTTATCTATTATGGCTGACTATCACGGGTTTTGTACGTTGCAACAATGCTAAACGGTTGTTTTGAAAATGAATAAGCTTCAAGAATATCACCACTCTAGGTGTGGCCTAGTGGCCAATGAAGCTGTAATGGGCCTTGGGAGAGACTACGGTTCAAATCCCAGCACTTGCAAAAGCGGTAGGCGATTACTTCCTGTCTGTCTATACCTTGATGGACATAATTATTTGGTAGCAACGCTTGTGGGAGGTAGTAAGTACTCGATTAGTCGAAATGTGTGCAAGCTGGCCAAACACCATAGTTATTTGAAATAACAGTGTATTACCACTCTATTCCCCTTATTATATTGGAAGCAAAAGCTGAAAAGGAACTAACAAGACACGTGCTGGAGTAGAAGTAGGAGGAAACAAGCAAAACGAGATACTCCATCTATCTCATTTTATGTGGCACATTTTCCTTTTTAGTCGGCACCAAAAAGAATGATATATTTCTATATTTAAAAACAAACTAACCTTAAACTTCTCATTTTACTCTTAATAAGATGATTTATAGTCACACAAATATCTACGTTTCAAACCACAGTTTTCGAAAATTGTTAGTATTAATTTACTAAACTTCGTTTCCAGTCAAACACCTTCACATTGAGACAGTACCTTCTAATTTACTACTTATATATTTAGTATATTGCCGGACACTGAACAATTTAACAGACATTTGAAAATGCTAATAAAGAAAACGAGCAAATGCAATAGATATACTTAGCCAAAAGTACCTTATATAACGAGGTGTAGAATCAGTGGCAGAATAAATAGAAGGATCCAAGCCATTCTGTTTCAGAAAATCAAGAAAAGCTTCTGGCAAAGGTAAAGTTGAGATTTCTTCCACCTCCGTCATCCCAGAGAATTAAAAAAGACAATAACTTTATTGCCCTGAAACGTCAATAAAATGAAACCCATATAATTAATCCTTTGAAAAGCTCTTCAAATACAGAAGTCTTCGTTAGAAACTATAGAGATATGGTGGGATGAACCAAAAAGCAGAAAAAGGATGTCGGAATACCTGAAGAGAAAATCGTTTGATGAAATATGCTGAAAAATTGTAAAAAGAAGCCCAAAATACACAAAAACAAAATGGCCGCGCAGCCAGAAAAACGTCAAAACTAGCAGAATCCGGCGAGCAATTTTTTTCTTTTTTGGGCTTGGGGCCGCAGTTAGTAGATGCAGTGTACTCGCTTTGTTATTGTTTTGAGGATAATTTGAGGAATTTTTATAAAGCACTGTGGTTTAGAGCTTAGGTAATTATAGTTTGTCTAATTATTCGTAGTTACTATTCAATTATTCTCAGCTTGTATTACTTCTATTCGGACGCGCATTGATTATAAGTATCACAAACCAAATACATTCAACGCAAAATATAGGAGTGTATGCAAAGGATACAATTTGTATCGACACAACGAATGCAACCAAGGGAAAATACAGAAATACAGAAAATGAAATGATCTTGTTAAGAGTCGAATTTAAGACCCCTGCTTACTAAGTGTGTACTCTAACCAACTAAGCTACAAGAGCTTGTTGCTCTCTTGTTTCAGTTCAAAATAATTGATCTTTTATTTCAGTATTACATATAAATTTGGCATAACATTCAAATATAGTTACGAATAGTAACTTTTTGAGAAATAGCTACGAATGATAAATGTAGTATATATGTTTGTTATGCAGCATAAATTTTTCTTTATAGAGTTTTGTCTGGAGTTTTAGAAAATACTCTTGTTTACCCTAAAAACGGATACAATTGAATTTATATTGTAGTTTTAAGGACACGTGATTTACTTAGCACAAACTAAAAGAAAATGTAAATTGATACTGAAATTAACTACAAATATAAATAAAGCAAACCAAATGAAATGTATTGCTTTGATCCTTGAGCTAGGTTGCCCTTGAATCAAATGAATATTTCGCCGGAAAGTATGAACAAAGTAACTGAAATATTGAGATCTTAAGAGAAAGAGAATATATTGCTTTTAGTAACGTGAACATGATATCTTGTACAAATGACCAGACTCCATTTATATAGTAGGGGAGTCCTATTCTTGGTACAATTTTAAATACAGTAAGAAATCCCATGATTGTCTAATTAATCGGCCTCTTCTTGATACGTGCCGAGATTTGCGTCGTGATCCTCGCCCAATTACGGTTATTTCGTCATTTCATTATTCGACCCAGTAAGCTTCCCTCGATCTCTATCTTATTCGGTGGGATCTTGATCGATCTCGATCTTATTCGGTCTCGGTTTTGGTCGGTCACGATCTCAATCGGTCTCGTGGTCTCGAGCTTGACAACCTAACCCTGCACCACAGTTTAATATAAATCGAAGCCGATCCTTGACTTATCATGCTCCTCCCTGGATCAGCTGCACAAAAACGGCAAGCCCGATTGTGACCGTATACAGATAGTCCCCTCGTTTTTTAGAGAGTAATGACAAGAAACGACTAGAGTCCTCGATCTTCACCTCGATACATCATGACGTAAGCACCATGACGTAAGCAATAGAAGTAACCAAAACGTCTCGTCGGTACAGTTTCCCAAGCATTTAATGTGAGCCAGTCGACAATCGGCCACTACCGGATTTTGAACCGTCGTCTTAAACCTATAAATATATCTTTCTTCATTTTTCAAACTTTACTTTCAAATCTTCTTCACTATAATCTTCAAAATCCTTTGCCTTCCTCAGAGCTTTGTATTTTCATATCTCTGAGTTTCTTTACTTGTTTCATCACAAAATACCAAGCGCTCATCCTCCGTGTTATTTTTCTCCATTTATAAAAATGGCTAAGACTTCAAAAACTGTTCCACTAAAGGAAACCGCTTCTTCATCAAGGCCCGCCAGCGACGGAGCCGTGGCGGAACCTCCCCTAGAGGACTTCGTTCCGAGAAAGTGCCCCACTGCTGCCGATTTTAAGATAGAGAATACACCCTCGACACCGGATCGATGCAAACCGATGTCGAGATACATATGCACAATTACCGACATTCTCCTTGACTAAGTTAAAAAGGACTGCAACTGGGTTGACAAGCACGTGGTGTGTGCCCTCGCTTGAGGAATCAATCACTACCTATGTGGAAGGGTGTTTAAGTATTTACACTTATCCTTTCACATTGGGTACTTTAGACCCCATCATCGTTGCCTTCTGCAAGAGGTACAATGTGACCCTTAGCCAGATCCAACCATCATTTTGGATGATCGTGATCCTCCTTCGATTTTTTGTAAACAAGATCGAGGGGCATTCTTTTACCCTCGATCACCTTATGCGTCTCTACAGTCCCCGGCTTTATCGAGGAGGGTTGATCAAGCTTTACCGCCGCGCCACCAAACCCCCGTTATCGAGCATAGATGAGACCTGACACCGAGGTTGGTGGGCCGATTTTGTCCGAATAAAGACCTCGGACCTGATCCCTACCGAAGACATGTCGTTTCCTGAAGAATAACATGAATCATAAGTATTGCTTTGCCTTGAATATCTAACTTTGCCGTTTTAGTTCTCGTCTTCTTTCCTCATCTAAGTTATTTGTGTTGCCGCTGTGGCCCACGTGCCGGAAGTAATCCCCGATCTCAGGAAATGGGTCGAGGGCTTAGTATCGCAGAAGTCTTACTCTGAGCGTGCTTGGATGGAGTTATCAAAGGGTCAATGTGAGGCCCGTAACCATGGTAGTTTTCTTTCTTAGAACGGTTATCACTCGGGTCTTGTATCAAGCTTACTTGTCTTTTTCCATTTGTAGGCCTCGTAAAGGATGTAGCAATGAGGCCCCCATCTACTGAAGAAGAGGCACTTCTCTCTTCACCTTCCCCGAAGCAGGCCAAAGAGAAGAAAAGAAAAGGGGCTCCGAGCTCTCCGGACTCGGAAAAGAAAAGACCGGCGAAGAGACCCCGTAAGCCTAAGGGGGACACCAATGCTATGCATCTGGACTCGATCCGTCAACTAAGAGATGAGTCCGAAGAGGAAGAAGGTTACAGTTTAATAGCTCGTAAGCGGGCTGGCGCTTCGATACAAAAGTCCCCTGAACCAGATGAGGTTGACAAGGGAGATATGGACGAAATTTCGGAGCCAGAAAAGGTCGAGGCTGCTCCATCCCAAACTGAGGCTGCTCCATCCCAAACTGAGATGATCGAAGAGGGAAACGGAGGCAAGGACTCTCGAATAGCTGAAGATGTCCCAAGGGACGAACACAGAGTGATTGATATCTCTGAGTCCCCATAATTTTTGGACTCCACGATCCACGAAGCAGCTAACTTGGTAGGTCCCCCTTGCGAGGATTTTCAGGGGCCAGTTGACATCCACACCTTCCTGGATGGGGTGGAGTTCGAAGCTTCTGGTGATAACACCAGTTTTGGTGACTTACTGGTGCCGAAGAAAACACCATCATCGGATGTCACTCGGTCTTCATCAAGCCCGAAACTAGTGGATTGGTTCCCGGCCCCCAATGCTAACCTCGATCGCAGGCATACCATAGTACTCATTATCCTGGAGGATGCTCGGGTATTCTCTCCCCCCGTGGGGATCACTAGCTACCTGAGATGATTGGTGACAAAAGAGGACCAAGCCACGATGGATGCGGTGGGAGCAGCTTGTTTGTGCAACGAGGCTCAGCACACTCTAAATCAGGAAAGTTCGAGGGCCATTCCGTTATCTTTTTTTAAAACTTTGAATTGTAGATAATTCTAACATTTTCTTCCTTACTTGTAGGCTTCGGTGCTGCATCAAGAGGCCTTCCTTCAAATTCGTGAAGAGCGCAAGGCTGAGTTTTAGGGCCTCACTGAGAAATGCGATACTTACAAGCTTCTCAGCGAGAAGCTTTAGGCAGATTTGGTGACGGCTCGAGATGAGCATGCTGAGATGGCCGAGCAGGTATTCCCAGTGCTTCATGATAGTGAAGATGAGTTGGAGATAACAACTAATGATCTGATTCTGCAGGTTCGACAGAGGTTCGAACAGATCAAGGACCTTCAAAGGCAAATATATGAAGTACAAGCTGAGGCTGAAAAGTTCAAGGGGTGTATGGACATCTTAGCTTCAAAAAAGGAGGTCGTCCAAGCAGAGCTAGAGTTGGCCGAGTCTTAGCTTTGGCCTGCAAGGGAGAAGGCCTCGGTACAGGCAAAGAAAATCGAGGAGCTTCAGTCTAAGTTAGCCAACTTGGCCAAAGAGCTCGAGGTGCCAGATCTAAGGCGGCCGCGGCCAATATTAAGGCCCAGGCTAATGCGACCCAATACAAGGTCGAGGTTGAAGCCACCCTAGCGCAGGCCAAGAGCATAGTGGTTCATGCGAGGTGGCAAGCTTGAAGGGAGGCCCTCGAGGGGGGCCGTGATCAAAGCTTCGATATATCTGCTGAAATCGAGATTGCCAGGGTAGAGGAAACAAAGGCTCGGAAGCTAGCTTTTCCCGAGGAAGACTCCGAGAATTTAAGCGAATCTGGCGGTGGAGAAGACTCTGAGGGCGAGGATACTTCTCTCGACGAGGACCATTCCGCTTAGGCTTTGTAATTTTTGTAATTTTTCATTTTTATTTTGAGGCCGATCAACCCTTGTAAATAACACTTAATCGGGCCATGTGACCCTTGTAAAAAGTCTTTTGAGATATATGTAAAAACTTTTTTTCCTTCTATGGCTTTTGAATTTGTTTTCTTTTTGTTACTTTATGTAAGGGTCAAAACGCTTTATCATAAGATTATGAAGTTGTACTTGAGGGTCCAAGGTTTGGGATGGTAAGGATCGATAATAAGCGTTGCCTTCGACCGTTTCTAATCGATGGACCCTGAATGATTATTCGAACTTGAGCTTACGTAGCCCTTAAGCTTAATGATCGAGTGAGGACTTGCTCTAACTCGAAATAAGGTAGCCTGTAGGCTTTCTAGTCGAGTGAGAATGACCTCTCGAACTCAAAGTAAAGTGGCCCTTAGGCCTTCGTAGTCGAGTAAGAATGACCTTCTCGAACTCGAAGTAAAGTAGAACTTAGGCCTTTGTAGTCGAGTGAGAATGACCTTCTCGAACTCGAAGTAAAGTAGCCCTTAGGCTTTTATAAATTTTGTATCTGGCCGATCCGGCCTTTGTAAAATGACGGTTTATATATATATATATATATATATATATATATATATATATATATATATATATATATATATATATATATATATATATATATATATATAA